GCGCCTACTAGGGACCAGCAGCGTCTCGAGGGCTGCAGAGGGATAGATATTGATCCAGATGCCAGCGAAGTCTAACGGCGTCCACCAGCGACCAGCAGCGTCCAGGAGTGAGAGTATGAGATAACAGAAAGGTAGCAGATAGGTGGTGGCTATCGCCCCATACTGTCTACCAGCGGTCTGCTACCTTCCTAGCTCCCCATGCTCTACCTGCTGTCTGCTACCCTCCTATCGCCTTACACTCCTTACCAGCGGTCTAGTACCCCCCGTACTCTATCAGCTGTCTGCTACCCTCTATACTCTCCACTCCTGGACGCTGCTGGTAGCTGGTAGACGCTGGTGGACGCTAGATCAATATATACACTTACTTAGTCGCTTACGCTGCCGGACGCTAGAATAGCTGATGGTCTCCGGTGGACGCTGCTGGTCGCTAGTAGCCGTCGCGGCAACGCATGAACGCAGCCTAAGAGAGTAGCGAGGGGTATGCGCCAACGAAGAAGACACAGGTTTGGTAGGCCGTACCCTGCTCGGTGACCCTGTTCATAATCCTTACAAAGTACAGGCCACTGCCCTTCCGAAAACCTAACCTCGCAAATTTCTCGGGACTACTGAGCATCGGGGGCCGGGGAATCGATGCTGAATTACAGACCAGCGCCCGAGTTTTTCTTCTCGATTTGCCAACAATGTTTCCTCTTTTCCAGAGAAATATGTCGGATCCAATCGTCACACCGTGTACGGACGAGTTTCCGACGGAAGAGGAAAAAGCGACGGCCGCCAAATAACCAGCGGCAGAGCCCCTTTGATATTTGGACATTTATTAAATGCAACAGTTTTTAAACAAAACATAAAACGCGTAATCGATGTCGTTGATCTCAGTGTGGTATTGTATGAATGAAAGAGTTACTGGTTATAAATAATGAGAATGTTTTTATTTATTATTTATTTGTTGAAAAAGCGAAAAGACTTTAGGACGAACCTGTATCGAACATGTTGAAAACCTGCCGATATTCCGATAGTTCATCTTCGGTGTAGCCATCTAAAGCTGATAGTAGCGGAGCCGCTGCGCTGCCTGGGGCTTCACCTCGGTCCGAGTGGAGCTTTAGCTGAAAATGGCAGATTATTTGTGGAAAAAAAAGCTGGCAGTGTTCAGCCTAGGGGGAGGGGCGAGCTTCACTATAGCTGGTTCCTCGTGTCAGCT